TCTTCCACAAGATTGGTAGTCGACATGGATTTTTTACCTAAACAAGTAATGCGCAAGATGTTTCAGCAAACTTCAAACAATCCATCCAAACACTCTTCTCACCAATATTTGATGAGCTTGAGGCAGCGCTAGCGGATGAAGTTGATGGCACTTTTGCGAAACGCGACAAAGGAGTAGAAACTAGAAATAAAGAGCCTATACAGCAGCTTCCACAGCATAATGTCATTGAAATCCCACCTCCAGATTTGCGCTGCTTTGTGGCAAATGGTGTGAAGCCTGTAAAGGAAGCAAAAGGAGACGAGCTGCCTTCTCGCATCCCGCCCACTTCTCTCGTTTTGCCCATCAAGCCGCGCCCTTTAGCTCTCACAGCTTCCAGCACAGATATAGCAGGGGTAGACGTCGTAAGTGATGTGCGGCCACTTACACGTTGAATATCAAAACGGCCATCAGCTCCAAAACGATATGAGTTTGTGTATCCATTGTCCCATTGCACATCGACCCAACCTGCAAAATTAGACCTTTTTTAAATCCAAAAAGAGCAAGTGCAATACAACGGACCATTTTCAACGCATCCAACAATTTTGCCTTCGCCGCCACCATCCTGATCGTCCCAAGACCAATCTGGACCGCGAATAACGCGCATACCCCGGGCATCAGTTCCAACAGCAGCATGACGAGCCGCGCGAGCCACTCGCATTCTATAAACACCGCATTCCAAGTTGCTTTCTTAGCCTGCGGAATGTTCCTCCACTAGTCAGTGATACATACCGAGATCTTGTGTGCATCATCGATACCATATCAGCCGTAAGCCCAGCTCTCAATTTGTTGTTATTTGCTCCTTGCGGCATTAACGATTCAACTTTCTGAAATGCACAGGTCGAGCATTACGCATTCCGTCAACGTTATAATTTGAAAGCAGAAAAAATCATCTACTTCATCCCTATTGGACTCCTTCCGTGACGACGACGGTAATGGAATTTTGGACTTGCTCTAAATAAGTTCTTATACTTTTGTCAACGATTCAACTACGATAGTCGATTACTCACAAACGCGCCAGCAGCCCTATCTTTCTCATCTTTGTGTGGTGCAAAACCATCAATGATTACATCAACAATTTCTCCATAAACTTCAAATCCAGATATGCTTAAGTAATAAGTCTGTCCAGACGAATTCTTCCCATTCTGCGCTATGCGCAAGTACCGGAAGGGCCCTAGAAGCAAAAACTCGAAATAACATTAGATTGCGAATGATGCGCTTACCTTTGGTACGATCATCTTCTATGGGCCACGTAGCCGTAGATCCAGGATCACCAAGGCTAGTGTCATCAGTATGAGCAACGAGTACTTCCCAAACCTGCTTGTCTTTGGAACCCTGCAATACGTGTGCTTCGCAGATTGAGTCAAATTCCATACATATTTGAGTACAAACATACTTGAAGAAGCCAGTTTCGAAGTGCAGAACGACCGTATCCTCTTGCATGTCGTAGAGTGTATGCGGTCGGGTATATAAGGACGCCGAGATCAATGGTGAAGTTGGCGTTCCTAAGCAAGACGGATAAGACGCACAGTTCTTT